AAGTGACAAATAAATTTTGTCATAACATGTTGGTTTGTGTTTCCAATAGCTTTCATGTTACAAAAAAAAATATATCATAACATGTGGGTTTGTGTTTTCAGCAACCTTGATGTTAAAAAAAAAAAAAAAAGAGAAGTATAATTTCTCTTTTTATATATTCCTGAACAAACAATGATTAATTTGAGTATGCAAGGAGAAATAATAAGTGCTTTAAAGTCTCAAAGAAGAGTATTGATTGTTGGGAGAAGTTAAAGCCCAATGTAGACAAATCCAAATGCAATCATAACAAATTTAATGGCTACGATTGGATTATGGTTGGTGGAGAGAAACATAATTCAACAGATTTTAGTCGTTACATTTTGGTGTATTGAATTCAATATTAAATTGAATTCAAGAATAAAAAAAAAAAGGAGAGAGGAGGGATAAAGCAAGTGGAATGAAAGAGTTGATGGCGATTGATGGCAAAATTCATGAGTTCCTTGTTAAGGATTTCAGCTCTTTGGAGACATTATAGTTTATAGAAGAATAAAAAAGTCCTCCATTCCTTATGAATATTGTTGCTATATTATGATAGTAGCTTCGATAAATATTAATTCAAGGCTTATGTTGATCGAGTGGACTAAAATATAATCAATAGAATGGAAAAATATTGTCTTATAGAGCCATCAGTAAGTGTTCATAACAATCAAAGAGATGAATACTATATGTAAGAAGAAATTGATGCAGCTGAAGGAAATCAAATTTTAGTAGCAAGTGAAAACAAAGTTCTCATATAAGGCAATGAAAGAAGAAAGCAATGGTTTTGGTAAGATTTTTTTTATTCAAAAATGTGATACTTTTTCAAAGATCTTGTTTAGAGTAACACGCCACCGGATCCGCACCACTTTTACATGCGGACAGAAGGCGTTTGTAGACCTCTAAAATAAAATTTTGTGCATATTCTAACGAAAACTATGTGCACAAATAATCCTATTTGAGTTTCAAATGCTCCTCTCCTACATTAAAATTGACAACATTGAGTAGGGTACCGACGCCTCTAAGATACGTGCAGTAGCTTTAGGAAGCAAGCGACTTCCTCGAGAAGAGTGCTACCACCTTGAGAAGAAAATTACGACCTCGAGAAGCATGCATATTAAATTTTGAAAGACTGCATATGCTCTGACAAAATATATCAGATAAAAGTAAAGTTTGAGATTGCTACACATATTAAAAGTGAACCTAAATTCAAGTATAATCCTCCTGTTCAAATAGAATGGAGTTGACAAGCCTTGAATATGGTCGTGAAAGGTTCACTACTAAAGCATAAAAATCGATATTAAACCCAATCTTCTGTTAATATGTAAACAGAATTGACACGGTTTAAATAATAAATATACAAGCTATTTCAAATCTCCGATGATGACCGTGTTGAACTTTTATGTCAACCGGAGGGGATTCTACACTTTCAAATATTTTCAAATGCTTATAAAATATAAATATTTCCAAATGGCTACAACGAAGCCCCGATGATGGCCATGTTGAAAGCTAATCTTAACCGGATGAGATATTGAATATTTAAAATACCACCAAATTTCAAATGAAATACTGGAACAATATCCTGATAAATTTTAAAATATTCAAATAAAATTTATTATTTAAAACTTAAAGCAAAAATCCATTCATCATCCGCAAACGTTTGTTAAGGATGATAAATTTTAAAATAACTTTAGCTCACAAAGAGCAAAATGTTTAATTGAATATATCACTTTGATTCATTCTCAAATGATTTCTCGCCAATGGGGACGTGGCATGTGCCCTCTGACCGGGTGGTTTTGCTGCAAAATAGCACCATTATATCACAGTCACGGTCAAAGCCCGTATGTTCTCCAATGGTTAAAAGCCCCTTGAGTAATGAATCATAGGGTGCACCCAATAATGCACAAAGCTTTGTGTTAGCTAAGGTTGACTAAAACTTATCTCCTTAAACAAGCACCCACCCCAAGTCTACAAGGTACCCTTGGATGAAGCAACCCATGACTGCCGATAAGGATCCTTCTGTCAGGTTGGGTCGACTACCTCCTCTAACTAAGTAGATTATGGACCACAAAGGTCCGGGACGACGGAATCATGGGATCTTGATCGGGTTCATCATCATTCTCCCCACCATCCGCTTTAAGTATAAAAATAATAAATTTATAATTATAATTCCAATTTCATATGCTGCAACTATATGCTAGGTATTTCGTACATACTTAATGACTAGCCTCAAAAGTGCTCTCTCGTGATCGGGAGGGGTAATTAACCATAGGTGCTTTCTCCTATGGGAAACCTAGAACCAGATTTTAAAGTCCTCACAAAATGAGGGCGAAATCTCTGGGTAGTGCTTTATCCCAAAGTTCATCTGACTTCTAAAATTTGACCCGGAACATCGTTAAAACTCTCCTATGCAGGGGAGGCCGAGGCGCAAATTTTTGGAGCCCACAATCCTAAGTGATCATCCAATTAGCATTGTTGAAGCTATTATTCTTCACTGAAAAAAACCTCTTTAAAACTTGAACCCAAACCTCCAACCTTCCTCACCCTTCCATTTTCGGCTCATACATAACCCATCATCTTATACATTCACCACAGCCCCCATCACCAATGAGGAGATCAAAGCAAATAAAATTCTTCATCTAAAATTCTTTGTCTCATCCCAATGGTTATACCTTTGAATTCTATAATATCTACTGGAATGTGGTTGGGGAATATGTTTTTAAAGCTATCAAGCTTTTCTTTCTCAAATCTTATCTCTCTAAGAAAATTAAGGCCACTACTATTTCCCTAATTTCAAAAATATCTCATGCTAGTAGCATCAATGACTATAGATTCATCTCTCTTTGTAATACCTTTTTGAAGTTAACTACCAAGATTCTAGCTTCTAGATTTAAGCATATCGTGCCATATATAATTCACTATAGTCAAGCGGGTTTCATCTAGAATAGAATTCCTATAGATAATATTCAACTAACTAAATGACGCCAGAGCTGAGCTGTTAAAACCTGTTAAACTTCGGGCTATATTAATTCTAGTAGTTTATATAACTAAATAGGAATGTTTCTTTCTTTTATTGAATGTAGCCTTTTATGTTTCTATATTTGTCTATATATACTTGTAGACCATGCTTGTAAGAGGGGATTTTTGAGATTAATAAAATTAGAGTTTACTCTTGTGAATTTATGTATCCTAAGATTATTCTTAGGTGGTGGTTCTTGCTCCAAGGAGTTCTTGGAGTGGTGTTCGGTGACCGCCACCGGATTGTCGACGTGGATTCATCGAGCCCCCTCTGATCCGGTGTCATTTGGTATCAGAGCCAACAGGTTCTTCTTGCTCTGTATCCTGAGAATTCCGATCCTTAGGTGGTGAAGAGAAGAACTTAGGGGAAGAATGTTAATAAATTCAAAATATTTAATCGTATTATTTGAATGGATGTGTCTTTTCATTTGTGTGGATGTGGTTTATTTTCTTAATTAAATGTAGTTAATTGTAAGTGAAAGGGTGTGTGAAGTAATGTTTCATTTGAAAGTGAAAGGGTGTATGTGAAGTGATGTCTAATTTAGATAAAAGAGTTGTAATGTGTGCATGAGATAAATTTAATAAAAAAAAGAAGTTTGTGTGTTTCTACTTCTACCATTTTTTTTTTCTTCTTCTTCCAATTTTCTTTTCTGTTTATTTCACAAAGAAGCCAAGTCGGAGGCCGTCCAAGGTACGACGGGTTCAGCCATGTGTACGTTCATCTCGTCCTCATCTTTGGTGGCGAATCAGCTTCGGTGGTGAAGCCCAGGCGAAGGGGACAGAAGAACCAGGCAGAGAAGCTCTGTAGGACGTTCCAGCCATCGCCAAGCATTCGAGTTCTATTCATCGCCAAACATCCACAGCTTTCAAGAAGAGGCAAGGCGAGCAGTCCGTAGCTTACGAGTATATGGAAGGAGCCGTCTGAGAAATTTCTTGAGTCTGGGTGGGGTTCAACTAGTTATTTCGTCCATCACGTACGGATCCTCGTGGACGATCACGCTAATAAATAATTCTTGGCTCACATCAAGAAGTTGCATGAGGTACAAGACGAGCTAGAGAAGGTTAACGAAGAGACTTCTGGGTAACAGCGATCATGTTAAAGACTTCAAAGATTTGAAATCTGGCTAGCTACTCCATAACATTTAACTTCATGCCTAACTTATACTTTGAGAAAAAGAAGTTGACAAAGATGATCAATTATTCTAATGAAGGAACATCCAGTATAACTGGTACAACAATTAAATAGAAGAAGGGCAAGGATAATGCCAATGGTTCTGGTCATATGACAGAAGGTGTCAAGAGACCCTTTGAAGAGGGCAATTTCTTTGACTGGTTCAACGAAGCACAACAAAAAAAGAGTGTTGATCAATTGGGTGATGAGATTGCTGAGATAATCTAGTAATATTTATGGAACAATTATCTCAAGTATTTCAGCAATGATGCTGATGAGGTGGATTTTGTTGGGGAGGATGATGATGATGAGGATGTCTTATATAATCAGATTCCTTCTTCCTACAACGATGTGTTTGAAAGACCATCTTGTCAGTCTTCCACATCACCCCCGGTCGAGTTCAACTTCGAAGAATTTGAAAATCCGTTGTTGAAATCATCATCTTTGCCTATCTTTGATGAACCCGTTTATGATGTGTACGATGATGACATATTCTTTGAAGTTCTTGATGTTGATACGCCTGTGAGTCATGATTATAAGAGCAGATCAATTCAAGAGGTCATTATAGAAAATAATAATGGTGGAGACGAATGCACGGGAAATGTTAATGCCATGGAGTTCCTATGAAAGTCTCTTGGATTCAAAGATTGCAAGGACGTGTTGCATGTTTATATTGGTGACAATCTAACAGATGAAGATGCTTTCTCAATCACAAGTATTCCATCTGCTTATGCTACTCTTGAGAGATTGAATATCGGTAGGCAAGTCAATACCGGATGGACCTATCCAGACCGATTTAGTCAACTAAGCCCACCTCCTTATGGTGGCCAACCGGACATCTTTTCATGAGCCTGAAGTTCCTCCTACCCCGGTAGTATGACGCCGAAGCTGAGCTGTTAAAACCTGTTAAACTTGAGGCTATATTAATTCTAATAGTTTATATGGCTAAATAGGAATGTTGCTTTCTTTTATTAAATGTAGCCTTTTATGTTTCTATATTTGTCTATATAAACTTGTAGACCATGCTTGTAAGAGGGGATTTTTGAGATTAATAAAATTAGAGTTTACTCTTGTGAATTTCTGTATCCTAAGATTATTCTTAGGTGGTGGTTCTTGCTCCAAGGATGAATTCTTGGAGTGGTGTCCGGCGACCTCCACCGGATCATCAATGTGGATTCATCGAGCCCCCTCCGATCCGGTGTCACTAAAGAGACTCTTTTCGAGATGAAAGGAAATAAAAAAAATATGTTTTATGTTGTGCTATGTTTAACATTTTCAAAGCATTTGATACTATTTTAAGATATTTTCTTTTTTAGAGCTTGGTCCAAAAATGTTTTCCTAAGTTATTTTTCGGTTGGGTTAAAGCATGCACTAATAAATTCTATTTATCAATTTGCATCAATGGCAACCTTGAGGGATTCTTTAATTCATCTTCTAGCCATATATATACAAGATTTTCTTCTATCACCCTATCTATTTTACATTATTATAGACGACTTATTTAACCTATTTAAAGAAGCTACTTCATCTGAATATTACACTGGCATCAAAATGGGTGATCTTCACCTCTCACACATATTACATTCAGATACCTTACTAGTTTTTTGGTACGATTCCACCCAAAATATTTTGTGCGTAGGCAATATCCTTATACCTTTCAAAGAATTATTTGGGTTATCCTTCAATGCAGCCAAAAGCATCATCATTCTATCAAAAAAGGTTTCAAAATCAACAATAAATTTTTAATATCCTCAATATCAATAACTATAATAGAGTTCTCTAATTTAGGTATTTTAATTGTTATACAAAGGCTAGTAATTTCTAATGTTAACTCTATTATGAGCAAAGTTGTTAGACTGTTGGAAAGCAAAAGCCCTTTCATTTGCTAGAAGGTTGTAGGTTCTAAAATTCTCTATATCAAATACAATCTCCTACTGGATCAAGGATGCAATATTACTATATGAAAATTATATCCCAACTTTGCTATGGGTTCTTATACCATGGGAATATAAATGTCAAAAACCTTTATTTATTCTCTTAGACTAAAACTTGCAAACCTAAGAAGTTTTATGGAGTTGCTTTACCTTCTCTCACTAAACTTAACTTTGCCTTTAAATGCTCTCTTGTTTGGCATTCTTTAAAATTCCAATTATCTAGTGGGTAAATGGTGGCTTTGCAAATATGATAGCTTATGGAATTCTATCTATGATAAAAATTATGTTTTATGAGATTACTTTCCTAAATCAGCCCCTGTGAAATCCTATATCACATATAAAATTTATGGTGTGCGGAGAAAAATCTCACGAAAATTATTGATTATGATGGTGCGCCTCTCTGTGATCTTATCTCAAATGGAAAATAAGTTAACTTTTTAATATATATATATATATATA